CATTCCTACCATTCCTTTTCATCATCTGGAAGTTTCGGAATACTCTTTTTGTCTTTCACTACAAGTTTTGATTTGAAAGTTTTAAAATGACCTTCCACCTCTTTCTTTTGGGCTAATAGTTCTTGGCACCCAAGCAGGTTGATCGATTGCTAAATTTCGTTAGAAATGAGAAAAAAAAGAAATCAGACCAAAGAGCGACTTGTTAACATTCATTTTGTCACTATAATAACTATATGTATAGAAGGACTGGAGGAGTACATCTTTGATCAGGAGGCTGGAGGAGTACATCTTTGATCAAGGGGTTGTGCAAAAAAGCGATGCCCTGATTGTTCCCTTTGTGTAGGTATATAAACTTGCAGCACTGGTTATTGAGAAGAATTTGGGATTTCCTACATGAAGGGAAGTTTAGAGTACGTTTTTTCCTAATTTCACTATACCGTATCTTCTAGGTGCCCATCATGCAAACCAACCCACCCTCCATCACAAAACCCCTGTAATCCAGCTCTGCACATATAATGTGATAATTCAAAATTCATAGTAACAAGGAATGCGACTATTATACTTTTTGTGAAAAATTAACCAAAGAAACAAGCAGAAAATACCCTCGGAAGGTTACCATGCATACTAAATTTATGCTTTTATGTCTTTGTATAACATTTTGATGTATGAAATTACGGTATAAATCATAGGCAATGGGGAAACGTCGACTTTTAACTTACATAAAGCAACGCCAATTGATGAGCCATGTACTTGTGGTTGGAGCGATTAAACGCATCGTAATTCAACTGATGGGATAATGTAACTAGTTGGTTCAACAACCCAAAGGTACTGAAATGTTCTGTGATGATAATATGTACAATTGACAAAATATAAAACAGCTACAATGATATACAGGGTGTCCCAAAAAACCCGAAAACTATTGAAATCACCCATAACAATGCAATTGTTAGAGTTTGAATGCCTAAGCACTCTGTTGGGACCCACAAGTGTATAAATGTTTACCATACTCATTTTTATGCATGCATATGATGCAGTAAAATTTGCTTGTTCGCAAAAATGATATTTATTAACAATATTTACAATTTGCAAATATGGATAACATTATTTAAATGTGCATTTCAAGGACCATGACCTTCGACAAGTCCCCTTTCTCTAGCAACACAAAGCATTTAGCATTTCATAAGTTGCATTAAATCCCCACAGGCTGAAATTCGTTAACATGGCATTCAAATTTTAACAATGAGTGATTTCAATAGTTTTCTTTTTTGGGGACACCCTGTATATCAGCACATGCACATTCCACATGTAACAATTACCACAATACAACACAATGTATAACACAAAGCTGTATAAGGAATCGTAGTTTGACACAATACATAACAACCCCCAAACTATCACAACCCAAGTATGTTTCACAAAAAAAATCATTAGTACCTTCAAGAAGATACTCCTGGGCAAAAAATATTGGTCGTTCGGGGCTATCAATATAAGACATTACTCTTGGGAAAAGCTCGGCTAAACCACTGTATTGTAGATACTCCTAAATATGTATACAAACATTATGCATATTATGGACTGTGGTCTCGACTCTTCAAAACGGCTTTTTAGTTTTAATGACATATGTGATAATAGACATTTATGTCATAAAATTATCACAAATTACCCAAAACACACCAAAAGCCTTATATTACCCTTCAGCGCGCGCGAACCCAGAATATGTTTTACAGGAGGCATACGAATGACTTAAGGGGACTTAGCTATATGTATAATGTGTACCGATTGCAGGATTTCCCTCACCCCCTTGTCATGCACTTACCTCTAAGGTAGGTTGCGGACTTGGCAAAAACTGCAGATACTCTTCCATCTTTCGAAGAACAACACGTGCTAAAGAAGTCATGGCAAAATTGGAAACAAAGAGATGTTTTAAAATTGCAGAAATAAGTTGTATGTTGGATCAATTACAGGTGTTCTGAATACAAAATAAGGACGCCTATGCATTAGAGTATTTGAGGCACAAGAGTTAGTGTAAGTCTCACCTTTCGGTTCAAACGAGTTTTGAAATTCATTCTTATGACTGTTGGTGATCTTTCCACTTTTAGTCTGGTAGTTAAAAAGATGATTTACACTATAAACCATAGTCGTCCAGAAGTATTTTGTAATTGTCCCCAGAATATGGGAACATGTGGTTGACTACTCCTAAAGACAACTCTAACCATGGGGATACAGCCTAATAAATGGGGGCAAGGGGGAGTAAGGCCGAGTAAGGTGCAAGTTAGATACTACAGGTTCCCGTTTCCTAAATTTAGAATCTCTGAAATGCGATTCGCCCCATTTTATGACTTCTTTTGTAGCAAAACTGCCCAAATTACACAATTTATCACCAATTTTGCCCAGCTATGTGGTGTAGCCTACCCTGTTTATCTCCCACCATTGTTTTGGAGTTGCTAAACTAAAATTTAAATGAGAAACACCAGGTTGATGTTCAAAGCCAAATGAGCGCCCTAACTAAATCACTTAGCTATATTATGGCTATATAGGAACCTATCACTGGATATATAAAAAGACAAAAAAATACCTAAACTCAAAATAGTAGTGAATGAAACTATAATAAATCATTGTAGTATTCCAGATGATGATATTATAAAAATATCATACAACACTTTATGGATTATACATACATTGTGGTTTTCCCACTATATCAACAAGGTCAAACATGGACATGTTCATATAAAGATATTTCACTCCTACAGTACTTACAGTATACTTTCTTTTACACAAAGGCTCAAGTTGTGAGCAGAGTGTCAAAACTTCAATAGCAACATCACTTGGAGATAAAAGAACTTTCCACAATGGTTCATCCAACTGTATATCAACTTGAAATAAAAAAACAACAAAAATGATTTTGTGATTTATTAAATGACCTGTGAGAGCATCTATTAATTTTAGAACAAGGCACCCTTTTTCCCATGCACCAATATATACATATAAAATTCTTTATGCAATCTTTTCTTCTTCTAATTTAATTAGAATTGCATTTAGAAAGTATTACATAAGCTAAAAATAATAGTTTGATAGTTCAGCAAAAAAATGATAATAGTTGTATAAAGACAAATTTGCTGAACTGTAGAAGATCGATCCCCTCCTTTGCCATATTGTTGCAGTTGACAAAATGGTTAGGAGAATTTTATTAGTTTTGCTACTCATGTCATAGGCCTTTTGTTCCATAATCTAGCATCCATTTTAAGGGAAGGTATTTAGCTATCTGCTTTTTAAAGTTTGGAAAGTTTCTTTCTTATTGCACTGGTAAGACTTTAAAAAATTAGATGGAAACCCATTTGCAGTAATCAGTAAAAAGAAATGAAATTCGCAAGAACTGTAACTGTTTATACATAACCTGAAAATAAGTCTAACAAGTAAATGCAGGCATATAAAACTTTATTTTCATTCAATGTATTATGTATACATATAGAAATAATAAAATTGTTCCGTTATCTGGTTTTATACATACTGTACACGTACCGCACCTTTGAAACGTGGATCATATGCTAATGGCGTCCGCAAAGGATGGGACAGAATGTAATCTTCGGTCATGATATTACACTCTTTCGATGAAAATAATATTTATATCTACTGGAACACTGCATCTGTTGCGAAAATAAGGCGTCTATGAAGAAACAACCTGACAACCAGAGACGCATTTTGTATATATAATGACAAAAAACATAAACAAGACACCCGGTTCATCTGGCAGATAGCAGTCGCCCCAGAGTTCATGACGAGCTCAAGATCTGGAGATAGCGGAAATGACGCATTTCCCTAACTACAGTGAACCAGACTAGCTATCAATAATATTAAATTCTGTAATTGTGCGCTGTTGTCTCTGTTGTCTCCGGCATTTCTCTGTTATCTTGCTCGCTGTAAAGATTTTTTCACTGATATCGAAATCTCTTATAATCTTTTGTTTTGCTGAGAGAAGTCATGTCGAGGTGAAATATCTGGAGGAAATTTTGTTGCAGAAAAAGGGCTCGTTGGGAAATATTCGCATCGAATAATCGGTAAATAAATTTTGTTATTCAAATAATTCAAATATTGCGCCACAACGCGCGAAAATATGCGGGCTTTTCCCCAACGTACTGGGACTGTTCACTCCAGTACGTTACACATTTAGTACAAGCCCGTCCGTTTGGGGTGTTTTTTTACCGGCTAATGGCGGTATGGAAAGAGACGAAACGGGTCAAGAATCAAAACAATTAAAGTTATTAAACAAGTGTTCGCTGACGATGATCATATTTGAAAGGCGAAAAACTTCATGTAACACGCACTACACGCACGTGATCTCGCGGTCAGAACGTTTGTCGCAATGTTTAGTTATCTTTTTTGGAACCGGTCTAGATTTTGTCATTATGTTTAGTTATAAGAACTATAAAGTTGAAATATCACCGTAAAAATGTCTTGTTTTTTTAACTCACATCTTGAGTTTACAAGATGATGTTTTTCGGATCATGTTTTTTCTTGCATTAATGTACCCATTAATAGCATTTTTTTTATTTTTTCAACAAAATTCACAATTTAAAGGGGGATAACCACCTTAATGGTTTTAATGGCTTATATTTGTCAACTAGCCCCAGTCCTTCCAGCCTACGATATCGGCAATCCTTGGATGCAGGGTATTCCTTAAATATTGTATATCATATTAGCAGTAGGGAGATTAGCAGTTAGCAAAAAATTAACCTTTATAGGAGAACAAAACGAGCTTACTCTTAAACCAACAGTGAAAACTACGTTCTCTTGGTACTGTCCGTGTCCGTCCCTCGCCATTTTGAATTTGAGGAAACTGGGGAGTGGGACGGGTTTCTGAACTGAATACTCAGAACAGAAGGAAAACTCCAGTGAACTCGAAACTCTAATGGAAAAAACTTGTTTTAAAAACATCGCCAATATCGCACTATCACAATAGAGAATTATGATCAAAATTGTTTTCGTCTAGACTGACGGAAAAGCTTGTATCACGTCTCACCTTTTCGAATTTCAAAATAATTTTAAACCTATCTGTTTGTGTTTGGCTAAGAATAATAGCAAGAACAATCAAATTTCATTTGTTAGACATGACAGTGCACAGGGAATTGAACCCTATAACCCATTTCGGTCCCGACACACAGGCACTGTTTTTTGTTTTGGTTTATTTTTGGGTTTCCACCATAGGTATAAATTTTATAGCTATGGCAACACTTTGTGCATGTTTGTATTGTGTAAATTCAAGTTATAGCCTTAATGCATTAAACAAGCTCAATAGAACTATTTTTATTTGTATGCGAGCATGAACATGTGAGCCAATTAGGAAAAGGTGTAAATGTATAGAGGGAAACCGGAGCGCCCGGAGAAAAACCCTCTCATGCAAGATAATTCAAACACTCTTTAACGAATGCATTTGCTAGTTCTTTGAATGTTCGATACCTAAAAAACAAATGTGAAAAGTTAGTAACAAATGTTAAATGACGAAACAAAACACAATAGAACAATAATATATTAGAACATATTAAATTCACAATTAAATATAATTAGAATAACTAAAATTAGAATGCCTTAAACTCAAAGTAATAGAAGTAAATAAATTGAAAAATATCGTAACATATACCACAGGTAAGAGTACTTCTAATCACGTTCCACACTAAATCAAAAGTAAAACATTGTTTTCTTGACATCAAATCGAACTCGACGTGTAAAATGTAAAAAGAAAATATTTATAACACTAATGTAAAAAGTAGATATTTATTGCATTACATGTACGCCAGAAGATATTTGAGAAAGAGATCAATACGAATTACAAAATGTACCAAATAGCTTCATAACTATGTTTAGTCTCTTAGTTTATGTTTGTCTCTAAACAAGAAGAAAAAGTAAAAAGATAGGATCCGAATAATGAGTGGGATTATTTTTGGGATTATCCATATGTGTGATTAGCTCAGCATTAACAGAACCAGTCAACAGACTTAGCCTCATATCACCCTGGTTCCAGCAGAGATTTATATTCTTGACTCAAACAAAATAACACTAAAGAGCACACCACAGTCGGCACTTCCAAAGAGTCCAAATATGAATGTTACTGAGAAACCGCTTTAAACACTCTTACGTAGTTTTATTTCAGCACAACGTCATTTCCCATTTCCCACGAATTCCTAATCCTTACTTGAACTTTTTCTCCACTTTTACTTAGTCTTGTTTTTGCATCATATCATTTTCCATTCCGAGGAATTCCTAATCCGCCTTATTTAAAGAAAAACTTAACTTTCTGCACTCTTACTTTTATACTTTTGTTTTTGTGTAGTATCATTCTCCATTTCTAAGAAATTCCTGATCCTCCTTATTTAAAAAAATAAATTAACTTTCTCCACTCCTAATTAGTTTTGTTTTTGTGCAATATCATTTCCTATCTCCGAGGAATTCATAATCCCCTTATTTCGAGAAAAAAGAACTTAACTTTCTCTACTCTTACTTAAATTTGTTTTTGCACAGTATCATTTTCATTTGGCCGAGGAACTCCTAATCCTGAATGTTTGAAGAAGGAACAACTAAACTTTCTGCGCTCTTTGTTAGTTTTCTTTTTGCACAATATCCTGTTCCATTTCCAAGGAATTCCTAATCCTGCTTATTCGACGAAGAAGGAACTTAACTTTCTGCACTCTTAGTTAGCTTTGTTTTTGCACAATATCCTTTTGCATTTCCGAGGAATTCGTAACCTTGTTATTTGAAGAAGAAGAACTTAACTTTCCATCTCCGCGGAATTCCTTATCCCTATTTGAAGAAGAAAGAAATTGACTTTCCGCACTTTTAGTTGGCCTTGCTTTTGCACAATATCCTTTTCCATTTCTGAAGAATTCCTAATCCTCCTTATATGAAGAAAAATGTAACTTTTTCATTCTTGATTAGTTTTCTTTTCGCACAATATCTTTTCCTATTCCAAGGATTTCTTAATTCTGCTTATTTAAAGAAGAAAGAACTTAACTTTCCGAACTCTTCCCAAGTTTTGTTTTTGCAATATCATTTTCCACTTCTAGGGAATTCCTAATCCTCCTTATTTGAAGAGGAAATAACTTAACTTTCTGCCCTCTTACTTAGTTTTGTTTTTCCAAATCCTCTTCCATTTCTGAAGAATTCCCAATCCTCCTTATTTAAAGAAGAACTTAACTTTCCACACTCTTGCTTAGTTTTGTTTTGGTGCAATTTCCTGTTTCATTTCCGAGGAATTCCTAATTCGACGAAGAAAGAACTTATAACTTTCTGCACTCTCAGTTAACATTGCTTTTGCACAATATCCTTTTCCATTTCCGAGGAATTCGTAACCTCGTTATTTGAAGAAGAAAGAGTCTAACTTTACACAATGTTGCTTAGTTTTACTTTTGTGCAGTATATTAATAGCATTTTCCATCCCGTGGAATCCCTAATCGTCATTTGAAGAAGAAAGAAATTAAAATTCTGCACTGTTATTTGGCTTTGCTTTTGCACACTATCCATTTCCGAGGAATTCCTAATCCTCCATATTTAAAGAAGAAATAGCCTAACCGTCTGCATCCTTGTGAATTAAAGATAAAAAAACTTAACTTGCTGCACTCTTACTTGGTTTTGTTTTACACAATATAATTTTCCATTTTCAATGAATTCCTATAATCCCCCTTATTTAAAAAAGAAAGAACTTAAATTTCTACATAGTTTTCTTTTTGCGCAATATCATTTTCCATTTCTGAGGAATTCATAACCCTTCCCATGCATAACGGGAGTTCGCTAGAAGAAGAGCAATCAAGATAGTGATTAAATAAACATGCAAGGCTATGTATTTAAATATTGTAATTTCTCCAGCATGCAGTGCTTATTAGGCCATGTGATTATTTATATAGTAATTTTTAAAGCATGCAATACTTATTGTGTCATGTGATGCAGGGCTATATATTTAAAAAGCGTGCGGCCATGCGATATAGGTCTTTTTTATTTTTTTTCTGAGATCTAATTAAAATTGACATGTTGAAAATAGAGGTAAAATAAAATTGGAATAAGAAATCACAAACCGTGTTTTGTTAAATATATACCTGACAGCTGACCCATTCTGTTCATTTCAACAAAAAGCTTCACCATCTTGAGTTTTTTTATTATCTAGGCAACGAGATATCCAAATAGTAATTCATACAACATGCACAACTTATCAATATGTCACACAAAGCTATATATTTTAATAGTAAGTTCTACAGCATGCATTACTTTTTATGAATGGTAATTTCTACAGCATGCATTACTTATCGTGTCATATGGTGCGAAGGTATATATTTAAATAATAATTTCTACTGCATGTACTGCTGATTAAGTCATGTGATGCGAAGCTAGATATTTAAATGGTAATTTCTGCAGCATGCATTGCTTATGATGTCATATAAAGCTATATAATTGAATACCTACATGCACTACCTATTATGTGGCGTGAAAGTAACATTATATATTGAATGTATAAAAAAGCACTAGTAAATAATAGTATGATAGCAGTAAATAATTATGAATAGAATACATTGAAATTCTAACGGTTACCGCAGGTACTAGAAAAACTTTTAATACACCGATGAGCATGGAGTTACCCCCTGGGGAAAACAAAATTTCACGGTCTTTCTTTTTGCTCATATTGACTTTTAATTGAAATTCTTGGTGTTCCACGGCCCGTCTACACCATTCTAGCAAAAATTCCAGCGTACGGCCCTGCAATGGATGTATTTTTTTATTCCTTTTCTGACATCAAATTTCAAGTGGACACGTTCACACTAAAGTTTAAAGTAAACATTTATACCACTACATAGAGAAAAACAGTACAATACAAAGTTGAACACAAACCGGGTTTTGTTAAATACCTGACCCATTCCGTTCATTTCAACACAAAGCTTCGACATCTTGAGCTTTATTTATCATATTAATTCCTACATTACAACATGCACTACCTATCGTGTTATTTGATACGAAGCTATATATTTAAATAGTAATTCATATGGCATCCGCTACTAATTCTTATGTCACGTAAAGC